CCCCCCCCCCTTCCCAACCGCGTGAGCAAAACTATTAAGCGAAAAATCGTAATTCGAAAATAATTTGAAGGGCAAAAGTATACCAAAATATTTCTTTCAATTTCTTCTTTTTTTTTTATTTTTGTCAAAGTCAATCGCAATCTCTTTAGTAATATAAACTTTACGTGGAAGGTGAAGTTGACATAACCATCTTCTCTAGAATTTCGACATTATAGGATTTTGTGTATGGGGACAAATAAAACGCTTAATAATAAAAGTAACGTATAAATTTATAAATTTTGAGAAAATTAAAAGAATTTTCTTATACCATATACAAAGACTTATGTAGTGGGATGCATAAAAATTTCTCATATTATTTTTAAGGATTTTTGAAAAAAAAAAAAAAAAAAAAAACCTCGTAATTTAATATTTATTTTGACATTTTTATACATGAATGCGAGAAGAAAATGAAATGAGAATTGTTCATACATTCCCAATTTTTTTTAAGAGGCAATTAAGGCTAAATTATTAGGAAATTTAATGTTTAGCTATTCATTCATATAAAGTGCAGAACATAGTTTAGCAATGATTCATGATTCATGGCCATGGAAGTATCCTTTTCTCTCCCCTCAATTATTGTCATTATTATTATTATTATTATTATTATTATTATTATTATTATTATGAGTATTTAACGTTGGACGTCATTCTATTCATCTGTTAACAAAACTAATGCTGCTGCTGCTGCTGGTGATGATGATGATGATGATGATGATAATTATGAACGTTGAAAATATCAAATTACCGCGTAAAATATTTTCTCTCAATGAAACATTCAAGGCAATTTTCTTACAGCTCTGCAGCTTCTCGCATGCCGTGCGTGTTTAAAAAAAAAAAAAAAAAAAAAAAAACATAAATAAATAAAATCTTCATTTTATTTGTTTTCGAGAATCCACAGTTCATGGAATTCCTTTATACACAGTCAGCGTATTATTGAAAATAAGGATAAAGAAAAGAGAAAATATCAATCACAAAAACATATGCACACCTATATACATTTATTGAACGCTAACAGACAGCATGGTTTTGTTTCCAGATCCTTTCAATATCATTTCGAGCCTAATTGTTTAACAATGCAATGTATTTAAAATATTTTTCAAATATTTGCGACACACACACACACACACATACACACATAAACACATTCAACTAGTTGGCATTGTTTAAAATAAGCAAAACTTTAGTCGAAATAGTAAAACGAATATTATAATTTTACTATCGCGTCAAGATTGCTTTAGATGAACGATGATAATGAAAATTTGTTCCCAACTTTTTCTTTTTTTCGATCGCTCTAGCAGACATAGTAACAGACATACAGAACGCTTACAGTTGGACGAAGTGATAGATAATAGAATTTTGGTCTACATTCTGCCTTGGATTAGCAAATAAACAAATCCCTAAAGGGGCATACTTCACTTAGCCTTAGTCTAAGGCAGAATCAACCGTGGCTAGTAAGAAGTAGGAAGCCCTATATCGCTTGATTATTTGCTAAATTCAAAAAAAAAATTTTTTCATAATTTTATAAAAATTCATATATATATGTATATATATGCATGAATATATATTTTGAAATATTTAAAAAATATATTTTTCATCAAAAATCGAACCAAAACAATAACAGCACAACAGTAAAAACTTAAGAGAGCTTAATTATAATTATCGACTGTATTAGTGGAAACAATTATCAGCCGTGAGGAGCAACAGAAGCAACACAAAAAAAAAAAACAAAATATATATATATACATATATATATATATATATATATATATATATATAAAATTAGGGGAAGTTATGTGTGGATTAATATAATATATATATATATATATAAAAGTGTGCGGTAGTTGTTCAAACAATAATAACAGTAAGAGCAACAGCAACAATACCAATATCAAATATTATAGATAAATATTGGAAATATTGGAAAGAGGAGAACATTTTCTTATTGGAATCATATAATAACAATTGTGAGTGAGAAGAGTTCAACTAGCGCTTTAAAGAGCAGCACACAATGAAAATATTAGGAGAATTACGGTAAAAAGCATGCGCCATATTTTTTGTTTGCTTACAATTTGAAATAAGCGAAAAGAGCACGACTACGTATTGCATTGAGACGAAGCGAAGAGCAAAGCTATAGGTATACTATAGCAGTTAGCAGATGGTTAGATGTTCATACACACAAAGCAGTAAATTTTATTTAATGTTTATGGGATAGAGATGAGACCGATTGGCCAGAATTCCTTTTTCTTTTTTGTTTTTGTTTTTTTTGTTTTTTTGTTATTTTATCAGAGTTTCGTCTGCTGCTTTTTATAGAAACGTTCATGAAAGTGTAGGAAAGAATTGCTGCTGCTAGTACTACACGCTGTCTGTGTACTACTACGGCTTCTGCTGTTGTTATTATATTTAGTATGAATTATTTGTTGTTGTTGTCATTGTCGTGTAAACAGTGATTTTACCGTTGGACTTTTTGCAAAAAAAAAAAAAATATTTCGTTTTGAAAATTGCGAAGTTACGGTTTCAGAATTTGTTTTGCCGATTTTTGTTCATCTTTTTAAAAGTATTAGAACGGACACACACACAAAGATAATCGCAATAAATTTTTGAAAAATTTTACTTATACACGCAACTCTTATTTACTGATTGTTATTATCGTTGTTATTGCTACTAGCGCCTAACACTGTTTTGCTGCCACTTCTACTGCTACTGCTGCTGCTGCTCCGATTACTACTATTGCTGGCTTAACTGAGCTTTTATCTTTTTTCTTTTCTGTTTCTGTTTTTTTTTTTTTTTTTTTTTTTTTTTTTTTTTAAACACTTTAACACTTTTTATTTTCTTTCTTTTTTGGCTGCCGCTGGTCATAAGAATATTTTTTTTACTTATTTGTTAGCACAGCAGTAAGTCTCAGATCAGGCTCTCGGTCCCTTTTGCAGAGGACAACAAAACTGTTGGACGACATTTAGTATGACAACAGTTTAACGTGGAAATTACTACGAATTTGTTGTGTGTGAATATACAACGCAAAAAAATACAAATATAAAAAAAA